TTATACCACGGGCGAGTCTGCCATGTCTGTTGTAGACGTTTCACCAGACTTCCTCATCACTCTCTTCCTCACTCTTTCACACGTCATAATCCCAAACCATTGGTCATATATGGAAGTTCAGAGGGCGTTTCTAACCAAGTCCATGTTCATTTTCTATGTAAATGAAATGTAATTGAGCATGGAAGTGTTTGTATCTGGGTGTTGGTAAATTGTCACTGTCACTTAAGTGAGTAATGTAATCTGAATACTTTGGATTACTTGATTTGCTAGAGAGAAGCAAAGACTAGGAAATCTTCACATAAAAGTTTTGTCTGCTAAAAGAAAATAAAATGCCCAGTTTTTCCTTAACCGTATTAAAAATATGATTGATAGAAGACGAGGAGGAGACATGGTCCGTGTGGCATGGTTTAGTCCTGTTAAATCCTGTTTTAGACTTGGTTTTAGACCTGGTTTAGACCTGGTTTAGACCTAGTTTAGACCTGCTTTCAGACCTGGTTTAGACCTGGTTTTAGACTTAGTTTAGACCTGGTTTTAGACCTGGTTTTAGACCTGCTTTAGACCTAGTTTAGACCTGGTTTTAGACCTGGTTTTAGACCTGTATGGAAGATAAGTTGTTCCATCAGAATTTGAATTTTAAACGGCTCTGAATTTGTCTTTGTGAATTATTTTACTCTGAAAAAGAGCATCTGAATTTTTTTTTCTTCTGAATTTGAAGCACTGAAATTTCAGTGTATAGTTTTTCAATGTGTTTAAAATTTCAATTTTTTAAAAATTAAAAAATCATCTATAAAAATATTGGATGTATTTTTTTTCAAACCCTCAAATACGACTGTCTAAATTCGCATTGGTAAAATACGATGAAGAAAAATGACCCAGCCAACATCCGGGATACTGAGGCATTTGCAATTGCTCTTGCAGATTCGATCTAACTTCTAGCCAATCACGCAACGGTGTAGTAGTCACGGGAACAACCACAAGTCCACGGACGGAAATGGCAGCCGGTGGCCGCTCTTCGGTAATTATGTTCATATTTTCTAACCTTTTTTCGAAGCTAAATACTTATAAAATCTTACAAATAACAATTGCTTGACAACATTAATGTAAATGCTTGTACTCGCATTATTGGCGATTTGATAGAAACAACATTAATAGCGCTAGTTAATGCACTGTCATGCGCGCTCACCATAGACCACATGGCCCGCGCAAGTCAACCTGTTGTAAGGAAAACAACCACTAGGGGGCGATAGCCGCTACGGCTAATATGAAATACTGTCAACAAACATGGCAGCGCCCTTCTTCAACGATTTGATAGCATTTTATGTAGTGAAATAGAAAGAAAATACAGTGTTCTATGTCACTTATAGTAGGCTAATAAATATATTTGGTAATTTTACAGGATAGTCAGGCTGAAATAGTGCAGTCAGCAAGGCGTTTATTACATTTGCTGACTTCGTCTGAAAGACAGTCAAGTGCAGCAATTCAAGCCTCAAGTCAAGATAACGGGTAGTTGTTCTTAGAAATGATCTCTTTCTGAAATGTTCAAATATTCATTAAAAATATGACGCAGAGTTGATCAACAAGGAGGGATACGGGACCATGACCGTCACTTTGTACCAGCTACTCGGCCTACTCTTCAAACAGAAATGACAAGGTGTGAAATGCTAAATATGTCTTATCTTTATCTTTGGTTATTATAATAATAATTATTATTATGATGTTTACTATTGAAATCTGCTTTTCACTCAGCATCTGAGCCCAGTCCATGGACCTTGGGGTGTTGAGAATTTATTTCATGTATTATTATTTTGTAATATTTAAAGGTTTATAGAACCCATTAATTACTAATGATTAATGTCATAAGACCGCAGGTGTAAACAAGGCTTTTATAATCTTTTAATTTATTTTGGTCTTAACTAAATGTATGTTTTGTTTCTTTTTTCTTTTTCTTTCTCTATTAATTGTTTATTGAATGTTCTTGCGTTCTGTTTTTTGTAGAACTTTTCCAGGCCTTTTTACAAAAGGAAAAGGGAAACGACGATTTCCTGCCCCAGCACTTATTCCGGCCAAAAAGTGCAAGCCGCTGGAAGTGTCTTTTTACCTCCTTCCAAAACATTGTGACAGGACACCCAGTGAACTTGAAAAAGTCACACACATATGCAAGCAGGATTGGGCCCCAGGACTGCTCATCTAGATGAGAGCATCACCCATGAGGAGGTTAACTATGAAAAGACTCATGTGCACTCACTTCTTATTTTTGTTCTGAATGATGAATTTTGAATATTAAATATTGATTAATTAATGTACTTGCTCTTTCTGTTTACAGCTATGTGATGCCCTCAAAGCTTTATATCCAAAGTTGCGCACACTGTCTGGTGGATGGCTACTTTATAAATCTACAGGTACAAGTTTAATTGAATTGCTTGACAAGGTCTGAATGTTACTAAAAGTATACTGCCCAGTCATTAAGTATATACACTATTTACTTCATATATAATAATCTAAAATGTATGCAATATAAGTATAAAAGTATTGTGTGTTTCTACAGGTGGATGGGGTAGCCGTAAGCTCGCCCTTGTGTCACCCGATGATGCTGGGTATACAGGCAGATTGTTGAAATCTGCTGCACAAGGGGGTAAAAAAACTGTTCATAGTCCCACTTCAGGAGGACCTTGATACAAGTCCACTGGAACTAACTGATGAAGCATTCAAGGGCATGGCAAAGGCCATGTGCCAGAAGTGTGGAGTAGATGTTCCTCTGCAGCTTCTTAAGGATCACGTCAACTCATGCTCAGTCATTGAAATTGATGGTGAACAGCCTGTTGAGGATACAAGTCATCTTGTTGGGGAAAAATGTAGGTTTTGTCTTTACAACTGGAACAAGTCTTAAAGCATAAAGAATTTGATGATGAACGACACTTTTGCCTATTATAATTTTGATTTAAGTGCAACTCCTATCTTTTGTCTTTCCACTGTTAATAGCTGTGTCATGTCCAGTTTGCTTAAAAATGTTTCCTACTGACTGGATACAGGAACATGCATCCACATGTGGAGAAAGGTATTGATGATCTTTTTAGTAAATTGATCCATTATTGTATTGAATGTGATGATGTTTAGTTGCCTTATTTTCAGTCCAGTGACACCTGCAGTCACATCTGCCACAGTGACATCTGCCAAAGTGACCTATGAGGAGGACCATGCAGCCATTGCTGGAACCTCCACATCATCTGCTACTGTTACTGGGGGTAGGTAGTACCACAAATTTTGTCATGCTGTGAATACGTTTTCATTTGAGTGTTTAATGTCTTATTTGGTAATTGTTGTACATTTATAATCAAATCAAATGTACACTATATCGAAATCAGGTATTGCATTGTTTTATGCTTTCCTTCTAGACTGGTGATTATCTTTGAGTGATCCAAGGGAGGCCATATCTCAATATGCAAAACATTTTCTCCAAAACCATGCAATGGACAGCCCATTAATTCTCAGCATGGACATTAGAAAAAGTCTTACAGAGCAGGACATGGCCCTCATCTCCTTTTATAAGCAAAAAAATGTGGAATGGGCCCGTCCACTGAAATGCAGACTTGAAGGTAAAACCTAAAAAGTTAAAGGTTCTTAGAAATGAGTTTGAGTATTTATTTATTTTTTTGTTATAGGGGACACAGCTGTAGGACATGGTGTTGCGCGCTTTTTCTTTTCCACGTGCATGGAAAAACTGAAGTCAGGTTTTCACATACATTTTGGTATGTTCCAGTTTATCCATTTGGCACCATGCACACATATTCCCATATGGATATAGAATATGAAATATGGATATGGAAACAGAGACTACTAATAAAAGCTTTTGATTTGTTGTGTCCCATCGTTGTTTTCCATAGCAAACTGCAGTGTTACTCGACTTTTTGAAGGGGAGCCAAGTCATCTTGTCCCATCAGCTTCACACTTTCTGGTTGAAAGCGACCTCTTCCTCATGGCGGGGAGGATGATGGGTCACTCCTTCCTCCACGGAGGACCTTGTCTGTCTGGCCTCAGCCCTGCTATTGTTCATGTTCTCCTTGGAGGCACTCCTGAAACGTGTACAGTCACCCTGGAGGACTGTCCTGACTTGGACATCCGTGACACCATCAGGCTTGTATGTTACTCCATCTTTTCACTATTCACCATACCCATTGTTTATTTTTGATGAACTCGATAATGTTTTAATCTGAAACCAAGTTGTGGATTAAAGAATACAGCTTAGTTAAAGTTTATCTTCTGATCTGGTACCATCTCTTCAATCAGTTGGAAGGTGAGTCAAACCTGTCTGAGAAGGATAAAGTAGAGATACAGGATTTGGCTTTTGCTTGGGATCTTCCTCCCCTGACTGAGGGCAACCGAAAATGGCTTTTTTAAAAACTTTTAATTCATGCTGTAAGTATTTCTGGTCAAGTAGTACTTTTGGATTTATTGAAAAATTCTATGAACACATGTACATTCCCCTCATTCTCTCTTGAAGGTGATTAGGCGAGTAATAAGACAGATTAAGCAACTCCGCCGGGGACTAAAAAAAAAACACCAATATGGACCATGCTCACCCAGAGACCAGACACAGTAGATTTGTTCCTCCCCACAGAGGAAGCAGGGATTATCTGCCCTCAGGTGAGTTTGTTGCATATATTTTTATAATATATTGTCAAAGTATCATGTTAGTCTTGTAGAAATGCTGCATATTTTTTTCATGTGCCATTTTTAACACAGGTTCTTCTGCAGCGAATCAAATGGCCACAGGCAGATGATGATGACGATGACTGCCCAGTTGACACCAAATGTCATGTGTCTGGCTATCTCCGGGAGTTTATCACTACAGGTAGGCTGCTCAAGTGGTCTTATTTATAAGAAAAAGCTACAATGGTATACAGGATATAGTATCTCATCATTTCTAATTAAATATTTAAAGGTCATGTACTTCCTCTTTTCTGTAGTAACACCAGCTGAACTGCAAAGCCTAGTCAAATTCTGGACTGGCTGGGAGGTCTTGCCATCGAGTCTGTCTGTAGAAGTGGGAGCAGGAAGATATATTACTGCTTCAACCTGCTACGAGACCCTGCGCATCCCATGTCACTACAAAGATTATGCTGCGTTCCAGAGCGACATGCTTGTTTCTATCTCCACTTGCCACACAGGATTTGGTTTTGGTGTGAATTGTTATGTTCTCCTAATGTTAATGTTGAAAAGATATTTTGTCATCTGCAAGATTTTATTACAAGCTGAGTCAAGGGTTTAGTCTCTCAAATTGTGTTTCTGGTTCTGTCACAGGTTCATTATGAACTGGTTTTGTGCTAACAAAAATTCAGAAGAACAGTTCGTTTGGATCCTTTTTATGATTGTTGTGGACAACTTTTAATAATAAACTTACTTACACACAATACACTTAACATTTAACATGTCCACTCATTTTTGACAAAAAATTAAAGGCTATTTATGACAGATTCATTCACAAAGCGAGCAAATGCTCACAGTAAAGAACAGCGGCCATATAAATATCACAGCCAAAGGATTGTGATGCTGCCATTGGGTTAACAGCCTCCTTTAAAGCTGTCAGTTGTTCATCAGTTAGAGGAGAGGACATATCTGGTACCACAATGCCTGCATGCTCATCATGAGGAAGCCCACTGTTTTCCCATTCAATATGGGGCAGGTCCATATCCTAGCAAAAGATAGAACATACTACATGAGCTTTATAGACATTCAAAATTTGAATAATTTAAATGTAAAGAGAGCATGACGAACCTCTGTATGATATGGTCCAGGATTAGAGTGGTGTGTTTGACCCAGAACCCACAGCTGGTTTGGAGTCATGTTGCCTTCAGTTCTCAGTGCGTGGTTATCCCAACCACATCGAAAGGTGTCCAGGTCTTCCTGTAGGCGTGGCAGAAACACGTAGTGGCAACAGAAGAGATGTACAAGACTCCCAATGCTGAGAAAACCGCCCTCTTCAAGGTAGTGGAGAACATCGTAATAGATGCTTGTTACAGCCACCCATAGGTCTCTCCACAGCCTTTCTATGCTGAAAAATAAACCATACACTTAAAATATGGTCAATTTAAAATGTATATAAATTGTTTAAGTAGAATTATACATACATAATTACATATAACTTATTTTGTGTACTTCATATTGCAATAATAAGAAATGCCATTATTTTTTGCTACTTGAACAATAAATTGCCCCGATATTAATCAGTGATAAATGACAAATAATGATATAGTTAAATTAGAATACTTTACTGGAATACATTTGCAAAGAAACTTGCAGATGACTATTTTTCTCTGAACCATTAAAGCCTGAACAGATAATAAATTCTAATTAAGATCTAGGTTTACACCTACTCTTCTATTTTTCCAATTTACCGTTGGTTGTGTACACTTTTCCCAGAAATAAAGCTGCTCCTTCCTGTTCCACGGGCTGTGAACATGAGACGGGCAATATCCACGTTTTCCACCCCCTGATCACCACGAACTCTAAAAAATATAGACAAATATTCACATAACAATAGCAGATCAAGTAGTTTTGAATTAAACAATTAAGTCAAAATTAGAAACAGTATTATGAATGGGAGCATGTACCTTTGAGGAAAACCATACTTGTCAACTGATCTGTTGAAGAAAGCCAGAGCTGTGGATGCAAGGTTGTTGGAGGATGCACCCAGATACATAATCTGTAGAATACAAAAAAGGTACTTTATTGTCCCCATAGGGAAATTTGTCCTCTGCATTTGACCACAACGCTGAAATGACTATTATCAATCATTTAATTGGTTTATTGTCATTGGGATATTAAATCTCAACGAAATTATGTTTAGAGCAGCACAACAACTGCATATGATTCTCAAACAAGTTGCAATTCTATACTAATAAGCTTACCTTACGGGAAAACCCATCAATCCCTCCAAATATGACAATATTATACCTATAATATAAAATAAAAAATGTTAAAAAACAAATGCAGCAGTATACTAATATTATGTTGTAATGTAAAAAGAAATACCGGATCAACTTATGGTTCGTATCAATATGCATCAGGAAGTGGGGTCCTGGAACAGAGTAGGTACGGCGATTGATGCAGCCCAGGTTAGGTGTTCGAGATATGACTCCATTGGTGTCGACACGGTGCATGGAGGCTCTCACACGCTCGTACTGCACCCTCAGTCCTCTGGCTTGCAGAAGAGCCTTCACCATTCTATATCCAGAGTGAGGCTGCCTGGATATTACCTCTCTCACACATTGGTCCAGTTCTTCATCTGTCAAGGTGCAGTACTGTGATCTCACTGAGACACCAAAGTCGCCCATACGCCTGTATAGTGTGCTCCTGGAGATTCCCATGAGTTTGGCTATAGATGGCACAGACAAGTTCAGTTCAAGTAGATGTAGGAGGTGGTCTGAGGACACCACCATTCTTTGTCGCCCAGCTGGTCCTTGTTCAAACTGTACTACTCGAGCATGTGCTCTGTTTCTTTCCTTTTCATGATTCACCAGAGTGTGCAATTCCATTAATGCATTTAATATTTCTGCAGATATGGGTACCTGACTAGACAGAGCATGCAAGAAAACAAACTCCTGGGTGCAAGTGAACTCCAAAAAGTCCAAATCCAAAGGAATACGTTCCAGAATAAGCTCCAGGCGAGACTGAAAGTCGTCTCAAAACTTGGTTCAGGAGATCCTGGTAGACATAAAACAACCACTTATTTAAACATTTGTAGCTTTTTACATTGGGCATAATGAAGGTAAATATGTAATCATGTGTTTCAGACAAACAATTCCTTCCAGATTTGAAGGACTTTGTGAGGACCTTTCTCCATTGAAAAGATATAATATTTTAATTTAAATAGCTTTATTTCTATAACCATGAAGGATGGTTGCCATATCTTGAAACCCATGAATAATTAAGTACACTGTAATCTGTTGATGCATAAACGAAACAAGAAATTCTCTGTCTTTGCTGCTGAAATCGAACGCTGTCTCACAACAAATGAATGGTGAAGCAAATCCCTGTTATCTTGACTTGAGGCTTGAATTGCTGCACTTGACTGTCTTTCAGACGAAGTCAGCAAATGTAATAAACGCCTTGCTGACTGCACTATTTCAGCCTGACTATCCTGTAAAATTACCAAATATATTTTATTAGCCTACTATAAGTGACATAGAACACTGTATTTTCTTTCTATTTCACTACATAAAATGCTATCAAATCGTTGAAGAAGGGCGCTGCCATGTTTGTTGACAGTATTTCATATTAGCCGTAGCGGCTATCGCCCCCTAGTGGTTGTTTTCCTTACAACAGGTTGACTTGCGCGGGCCATGTGGTCTATGGTGGGCGCGCATGACAGTGCATTAACTAGCGCTATTAATGTTGTTTCTATCAAATCGCCAATAATGCGAGTACAAGCATTTACATTAATGTTGTCAAGCAATTGTTATTTGTAAGATTTTATAAGTATTAGCTTCGAAAAAGGTTAGAAAATATGAACATAATTACCGAAGAGCGGCCACCGGCTGCCATTTCCGTCCGTGGACTTGTGGTTGTTCCCGTGACTACTATACCGTTGCGTGATTGGCTAGAAGTTAGATCGACTCTGCAAGAGCGATTGCAAATGCCTCAGTATCCCGGATGTTGGCTGGGTCATTTTTCTTCATCGTATTTTACAATGCGAATTTAGACAGTCGTATTTGAGGTTTGAAAAAAAAATACATCCAATATTTTATAGATGATTTTTAATTTTAAAAAAATTGAAATTTTAAACACATTGAAAACTATACACTGAAATTTCAGTGCTTCAAATTCAGAAGAAAAAAAAATTCAGATGCTCTTTTTCAGAGTAAAATAATTCACAAAGACAAATTCAGAGCCGTTTAAAATTCAAATTCTGATGGAACAACTTATCTTCCATAGACCTGGTTTAGACCTGGTTTAGACCTAGTTTAGACCTGGTTTTAGACCTGGTTTTAGACCTGGTTTAGACCTAGTTTAGACCTAGTTTAGACCTGGTTTTAGACCTGGTTTAGACCTGGTTTAGACCTTGTTTAGACCTAGTGTAGACCTAGTTTAGACCTAGTTTAGACCTTGTTTAGACCTAGTGTAGACCTAGTTTAGACCTGCTTTTAGACCTGGTTTAGTGTCCAGCAATGAGTGGAATTACGAAAAAAAAAAAAAAAAAAGGGGGGGGGGGGGGGGGGATATAGCCCAAAATATATAAAATCAAGAAACTGCCGCAGTGTAATCCACTTATTTCAACAAAGTAACTGTAATCCAATTACCACTCACTGAAACAGTAACTGTAACTGAATACAGTTACTCATAATATGTACTCTGATTACGTAACTCTCATACATGTAATCCATTACTCCCTAACACTGCACTTAAGAAGGAATCTGTGATCTTAAAAACGCTTTGTGAATCTGGTGCAGAGTTCTCTCAGCATCTTCTTAAAATTGAAGTTACGAACATTTTTAAAGAAACGTTTCATGAATGAGGCCCAGTAAAGAAGTGAAAAAAATACAGAGAAGCGCTTTCCACTAGATTCGAGACTGTTAATCCGATGGGGTGAGAGGAGGACAGAAAATGCAGAATCATGCTGATCAGTCAAGTTGTCTGAAAACCAGTTGGACTCGCTGTGCTGTGATTGTGACTGCAGGCAAACAAACAAAGGCTCTTCAACTGTTAGAACATGTCAACAAGTGTGCACAATCTCCTGACGCACTTCCAAATGTCTGACATAATTATAGTGTCATTAAATCATAGGTATTATTGCTTTACAGTTATCGAGGGTAATGTTACTGCAGAAATGGTACTACTACTACTACTACTACTACTACTACTACTACTACTACTACTACTACTACTACTATTACTACTATACTACTACTACTATTACTATTGCTTTTAATATTACTACTACTGCTACTATTACTACTACTATTACTACTATTACTACTACTTACTTACTTACTACTACTACTACTACTACTACTACTACTATACTACTACTACTACTAGGCAAGGCAAGGCATGTTTATTTGTACACAAAGTAATTCAAAGTGCTTTACAGAATAAGAAATACATTAAAATTATAATAAAAACAAATCAAAACATAAATAATCATAAAGATTAAAATTAAAAAAGAAAAAAGAGACATAAATTAGAGAGAAGAGTGCGGAATGAAAACCTTTCAGTTATATGCACAGTCAAACAGAAATGTTTTGAGCCTACTACTACTACTACTATACTACTACTACTATTACTACTACTATTACTACTACTACTTCTATTACTAGTCATAATCATAATCTATTTGAGGCGCCTTTCAACACACTCAAGGTCACAGTACTACAAAATACCATAAAAAGAACTACAGTACAAAACAGTCAACTATTTCATGTTCAAACGTTAAAGGATAAAACTGCATTTGCAAAGAAGGTTTTGAGCGTCTCCCTCTAAAAATGCCAAATGCAGCCTTTACAGCACAGGTGTTAAACATAAGGCCCGGGGGCCAGATCCGGCCCTCCAAGACCTTTAATCTGGCCCTTGGCTGATTTTCAACTTAAATATTTTAATTAAAATATTGGTAATTTTCTGCGAATGCTGAGCATAGCAGGGTCTCCAGCGTCTCTGTACGTGGCCCCTCTCACCAGAGCAGCACAAAAGAAGACTTGTCTCTTTCCAAACGCTCTTAAAAGTACGATCGTTTTGACTGTTGACCGTGACACCCTCATCAAAAAAATGTCCAACATGAGAAAAGTGGAGCCGAGTGCAGGATTTTCCAAGAAAAATTGACTTATTCCTATTTACATACAAGTTCATATTAAAATTGTGTTGAAATTGGATTTTTCTTAAAGTTTCAGGTTGTTTATATTATAATATTATGTAAAAGAAAGAGTTCATCAATTAAAAAAGATTTCTGTAATAGATTTGTGTTTCTCTGCACAAATATTTGAACTTATTGTTATTTTTGGGGTTTATATGACATGAGTTTTCTGATCCGGCCCCTTTGGGAAAGTAGGTTGGATACGGCCCCCGGACCAAAATGAGTTTGACACCCCTGCTTTACAATAACAATAAATACATAAATACATGCAAAGGATCATGGTCAGTGTAGTTCATGTAGTTTTTTGAACGTGTCCATACAAACAAACAGAACATATAGACAATGAAGCTACATTTCAGTATAATATTAAAGTAAAATTAGACTTAGACTCAGACGAACTTTATTGATCCACAAGGGAAATGATTTGGAGCTCAGACATCACAATATATAATAATAATAAATAATAATAAAAAAAATAAAAAAAAAATATATATATATATATATATATATATATATATATATATATATATATATATATATATATATATATATATATATATATATATATATATATATATATATATATATATATATAATAACACATTCAAAGTAGCAGATATAGCAAATAAAAATGAAAATAAAACACAGAAAAATGTAACTGTGTGTGGACTCAGTCTGTGGAACGAGTTGGCAGAAAACCTGAAGCAGCACCCAAATATTCACAGCTTCAAAAGAAATTATAAAGAGGCAAAGGAGAAACTCAATTTGTCAACTGGACAAAATTTATTTGGTCGAATACGTTTCACAGCTCATCCAAGCTGCTTCTTCAGCTGCGAAACGTAGTCGACCAAATAAACATTTGTCCAGTTGACAAATTGAATTTCTCTTTTGCCATGGATTCTGCCTGCATGACTGAGGGATTTTTCTCATAAATTATAAAGAGCTTTTGCTTTTGCGGTGGAAGAGTGAGTGACAGCACTGGGTGATCAAATAAATAAATAACTAATACTACTAAATAATAAATAATAATAATAAAAATAAAATAAAAAGAATAAATATAATAAATAAATAAATGCAATAATATCAACAACAACAACAACAACAACAATAATAATAATAATAATAATAATAATAATAATAATAATAATAATATATAAATAAATTATATAAATACATTTTATAATAAATACAAAATAAAATAAATAAAATAATAATAATAAATAAATAAAAATAAAAAGTGTACAGATAAAATAATAACTGTTATATAACATAATACAGTAAAAAAAAAAAAAAGAAAGAATTTGGGTTAAAGTGATATTTACTATGCATAGTGTGTAATGCTAATTACTGTAATTTTTTTTTTTGCTATATGTAAATATGTTTCGTGATGGAAGTAAATAAACAACCACATCATTTTTGTAAACTATGTCATAAATTAGGGATGGGCATGATTAATCGATTAATCGATAATTGATCATTAAGAATTTCATCGATTACGTTAATTTTAATCGACAAACCGAATGTAGGTTGCTGTGTGTAGCGTGACCAAACAGGTCTGTACATGTGTCTCTCTGCACTCAGAAGGAGTGAGCAAACACAAACATTCGGTCAGTGTGCAGCCTAACGAAGCACAAATGCGTATTTAACGATGACTTGTACAAGAAATTCTACGCTTTCCGTTGTGTTCAGGACAAGTGTGAGTCCATGTGCACAGTGAACAAAGCAGCACATATGTTTCGGTGTCCAGTGGGAAAAAGTTTTGCCAGGTGAGAGTCGCTCAATGTCGATGACGAGTCCCCA